CTATTGTAAAATTTGATGAATATACAAAATTAAAATATATGTTTAAACTGTGAATATATATGAATATATATTAAATAATATATATATATATATATGTATACAGTTAGACAAACTCAGAATGTGTATAGATTTTTTTTTGTAAAAAAATGAATGAATGTGGATAGCTGATTACTAAGTATTGAAATTTAAATACAAGCAGGTATTTCGTCTGCGGGCATAATTTTCGTATAATTTATTATTAGTCTATATTTTATTAATTCAAACCATTATAATAAATTATGATTTATGTTTTAAAATTAATTATAAATGACAACACTTACATAACAAAATATTTTAAAAAATATATTTTTACAAATGTATTGCTTTAATTTATTTTAATTATAATTTTTTATATCTTAATTTTTTATTTCTATACTAAAAAAAATATTTTCAAGATAACGATATAATACATAAGAAGTATCTTATTTTCTCAAAATGTAATTTTTAATTTCGTTTTTATTTTATAATAAATTTTATATGAAATTATTAAAAATATGAAAAATAATCAAAATTATCTAAATCATGGAGAAATTACAAATCAGATAATTCACTTAAATTATCTAACAGAAAATATATGTTCAAGATAACAATCTAATACATAAGAATTATCTTTTTTTTTTAAATCTAGTATTATTAGTATACATTCATTTATTATTTAATAAATTATATATGAAATTAGCAAAATATGATAAATAAGCAAAATATAAAACCATAGAGAAGTTGATAAATCAGCATTGCTTTCTTTATATTTAACTATTAATATTTTAACTTAATTTTTAATTTCTATGATAAAAAATATATTTTAAAGATAACAATATAATACATAAGAATTAACTTATTTTCTAAAAGTATAATATTATTAATAGAAATTCGTTTTATTATATGATAAATTATTCATAAAATTATTAAAAATAGAACAAATAAGCAAAATTACAAAAATTATGGAGAATTTACAAATCAATCAGTAAATTCACTTGAATTTTATAATAGAAAATATATTTTTAAGATAACAATTTAATACAAAATAATTAACATATTTTCTAAAATATAATATTATTAATAGAAATTCTTTTTTATTAAATAATAATTTGTATATGAAATTATTTAAATAAGGTAAATAAACAAATTCACCTAAATTTAAGGAGAACATGACAACTAAGAAAATTTACTTCTTATATAATAGTATAGAAATTTAAGTACAAGCATATCGTTATATAAGTAATATAAGACAAATTAAATTATTAAGGATGTTCTATAGGCTAAGTAAATTTTAATAAACATCTATTAAGAATATCCAACACTATAATATCTTTAAATAATACATGAAGACTAGATCTATCACATGGGTTTCGAGTCAAGTGAACTGGGTATAGAGTATCAGCACTGGTTAAGAACATACATGAGTCTCCAATCTTAACATTTAATCTTTGACTAATGTGAGCTACTAATAGATTGGCATATATCAATAAAAAAGCTCTTAAAAATAAATTTAGTCTTCATACGAAAAATTATGACACTGTCTCTTCTTTTATATGACACTGTCTCTTACTTTTCTATGTTTTTTTAGTTTTCGAAATTACTTTTACTCTTACTTTTCTATGTTTCCTTTTTTTTTGCTAATACTTGGTGCAATGCTTCTTCTATTTATTTTGACTGATAATAGATTCTTTGAAAGAATCATCATTGTGGATGCTCTAAAAATGTATTTTGGATCAATTTTCTGAATTTGAAATAAAAATATCCTAATTATAAGTTATTTTTAGTACCAAACATGGATTACAAACTCCTCAACTACATGCATCAAGAATCTGAGTGAATTCTCTTCACATTCTCTTATTTTTTATAAAGAATTATCTTCAGACTCTCATCTACCATTTCCTTATAGCATTCATATTATATATATGTAGATATAGGTATTGATGGCTCTTCAGATTTCTGGACTGGTTTTGGTTACACACCTTTGTTTAGGTTGGTAATCCAAAATGCATCATGATATGAAGATGAGGTTTCAAAATTTCGTTCATTATCGACATTTGCGTATATTCAAATTCAAAATAGTCACGTTATGCTCCATGCCCCCATCAAAAGTAAATAAGTAATAATACGTGAAATAACATGTCGCACAATCAAAAGTAACAATCCGATATTGGTCTCAAAAGCTGTCTTAACTGCCAAACAATTATATAGATCATCTTTGATCTTTCATTTGTCCAAATTTATTCAAATCATCCCACCTGGTTTCTACCTTCATACTTACCCATGCCAAAAGTTCTTACTACAATTTTTTCAATCCACAAATAGTATGTAATATTTCTTTTTCAAAATCTGTTGTGCACCCCACGCTGCACCCATTCCAAAATCTGCTTGGTTTGTAATTTTTAATTATACAATATATAAAAATAGTATTTTAAAAAACAATTTCTTAATTTTTTAGTTAAAAATTAAAAATAGTTTTTTATATTTCTCTAAAAATTCCTCTATAAAATCTGTAATAAATGCTCTGACATTTTATTATGAGTTTTCTACTGATTTGATGTTTAATAGTATCGATAATACAATTAAATGAACTAACCAAGCTTATAGGTAAAGGATTTTGACGCTTCTTCTAAAGGAAATAAATCAAATCTGCGTTAACGAAGGAAGATTAACTTTTCAATGAATAAAACTCCAGTTTGATTTGTTTTCTCTATCCATTTCTCTTCTGCGGTTTTCCCGAATGATGTAATAATTAAGAGTAGAGTTAATTTCAAACAAAAAAAATTAGGAGTAGAGTTTATAATTGTGCCGACTTTGTTCCACAAACAAAAAAAAAAAGTCATTGTGCCGACATTAAAAAGGTAGAATGAGTGATGATATCACAAAATTTGATTCACGTTTTTGTCAAAGAAAAAAAATTAAATTATCTCTAAAAGAGGATGATTGGTCGGATTTTAACTAGTGACTTTATCTTTATTTTCTATCTATACCATATAAATCACCAATCATGATTTAAGTAGTTTTTAAAGCTAAAGTCAAAAAATTAAAAAAATGGTTATAGGAGCTTTATTTTTTAAAGCAAAAAAAAATAATGTGTAGGATTGATGTAGGAATATATTTCTTTTTTTTATTTTTTCTCATTTAATTTCTACAGCTACATTAGATACATTTGCATCCAAAATTTCTACAGACTAATTTCTACAGTAAAATTTCTACAGTTACAATCCAACCAATCGCCCCCATTATAACTTCCAATATAGAATTTTTGACCCTTCCAAAAGAAATTTTAAAACTTCAAATTTGAAATTTAAATTGTAAAATTTCAAATATAGAGCATCACTACTCAAAACTTCAAATTTTAAATTTTAAATTTTATTTATATTTTGGTCCTTAAAACTACACATCATATTTATAATTCTTAAATATTTTTTATTTATCGTTTTAATCCTTAAAAATTCTTATCTCATAAATATTTCAAAATTATTTTTATGTATTTAAATTCTACACATAATTTATTAAATAACATCAAGATAAGATTTAAAATATTTTAAAACTAGAACTAGACAACAATAATATTACAAGACTTTATGTAATATTTTGTTTGTAGTTTAATATTAATAATATATTTATATACATAATTTTATATTTTAGTGTAACATTTTATTAATTAACATTGTTGTAATATTTATATATATGTGTTAGTTTTTTATAAAAGTTCTATGATCTTGAATCAGTTATGATAAATATAAATAGTATAGCATAAATACAAATAGTTTTGAAGTTAAGTTTGAAATTTTTTTTTTGGAACATAATTTTTCACTTCATATATAAAATTTTTAAAATTCTAAAATAGAGAATATTTTAGAGATGATCTTAGCAGATGATAGATAATCCTACCACTATAAATCAGATTCAATTATTGTTCTTAAAACCAATGTAGGAGATAGAAGAGCCACCCACACATGATCAGCCTTTGACTGGTTTCACTGTGTAATTTGAACAATATATGCAATAAGTATTAACTAAGCAAAAGAAAAGAGATGACTGTATGATAAGTTTTAAAATTGCATAATATCCTTAATTACGTACTACTGGCAAATGACGACGACGCACGAAATAAAAAGTTTTAAAGTTGATTTTTTCATGAAACTTCTATTAAATTTAGGTATACGAACGAATAATCACCAGTTTAACAAAGACAGAAACATAATACATTCGTAAAGCTTTCAACTCTATAATGTAACTAATACTTTCTTAATAAATAAAAATTAGTCAAAAATAGAGGTGTAGAGTCATTGAGATGACACGTCATCTAATAATCTTTTTCTCGAACAAACATTGGGTTATAAGTTACAAACTTATATACATTAGACTTTTCGAAAGAAATTCCCTATATAAACAAATGAAGGATTATTAATATATAATGTAATCACTAAAGTCGGTGAGTATGATGCAAAGTATTGTCCTTTTCGATGCCAAAAATTGTTGTCCCTTGGTTGTTTTCACTTATATATAGTTAATAGTTTCCTATAAAAAAAAAGAAAAATTATCAGAAGGAATTTACAAAGAATCCTTCGTTGTGCTAACGGTTCGTTTGCATGTGCATCCATGAAGATGGTGTTCGTTATATTAACCTTAAAAACTGAATCCGGATGCTGAGGATAAAAAAACTAGATTTATATGCCAAAAAGGAGTAGCCTACATGCAACTAAAAGACTAAATATTTGTGCGATGACATTTACAAAGCAAGATAGCACCAGTAAATGATCAAGAACACCCACTTTATATAAAACATACCAACATCAGGCCATCTTGTTCCCAACCTTCGTAAGAAAATGGTAAAACAAGTAAATCGAAAAAGTTGTTTGTGAAAAAGTTATAAAACATAATTAAAGGTGAGAATAAATCTATATATAAGGTACAAGGGTGAAGGGCTGTGTCTATAAATGTTTGATGATTAGTTCTCTGCCATGTGCTATGGAATCGACCTCTTATGCTTTATGTTCTGTTAATTCCTACCTTATACTATAACTTTCATTATTCATCAATAATTCTAATTCCTCCTTCGTCTTTTTATATTATAGTGTTTCATATAAATACTCCCTCTCGCCCTACTCATCCTTCATAACATTCCTCTCTTCTTCATTTTCAAGTTTCATTTTCTAATAACCAGTGATTGTAAAAATGGGAGAAGAAGTTAAACCAGTAAGATTCAAAGTTCCAATAATATTTTCAATATGCAACAACATACCTTTTAATATTAATTGGTCCTTGATGTTTCCATTATTAGGAGGCAAAGGAGGCAGTCTCTGCTCCAGAGGCCGTCCCTGAGCCCGCCTCTGCGGAGGAGGAGAAGAAAGATGTGGCGGAGGATAAGCAAGGGGCAGGTGAGGAGGAGAAACCATCGGTGGAGGAGGAGCCGCAGCCGCCACCACCGCCTCCGCCGTTCATTCTCTACGTCGACTTGCATTGTGTAGGATGTGCTAAGAAGATCCAAAGATCTATACTAAAAATTAGAGGTACAAATATATTAATAGAGAGAGAATTAGATTCTGCTTATGAATAATTGTTCAGCACAAAAGAAAGATTTGAAACTAGGCATATGTATTCTTTAAAGTACCTAGATATTATTGTGAATAATTAATTTATTTATATGAAAACTGCATAGGTGTAGAAGAAGTGGTGATGGACATGAATGAGAACCAAGTGACGATAAAAGGAGTGTTGGATCCACAAGCAGTGTGCAACAAAATCAAGAAGAAGACTAAAAGAATGGCCAAAGTCCTCTCGCCACTTCCGGGTGCCGAGGGAGAACCGCTGCCACCGGTCATTACCTCTCAAGTCTCCGGCCTCACCACTGTCGAGCTCAACGTCAACATGCACTGTCAAGCTTGTGCTGACCAGCTAAAGAAAAAGATTCTCAAAATGAGAGGTACATGCATATACGTATACTGGATCTAGTTAAAACAAAAATAGTCGTGTTTCATGGAAATATATTAAAATACTGTAGGATGTAAGAGCATGATTGACCCGGAATTCTTAAGGCGGGATTCTTAGCAGAAGTTAAGAAACTATTTCTTAACTTCCGCTAAAAACCCCACCTTAGAACTCCAAGTTAATTATGGTCTAATATCTTAAAAATAAAAGTTAGGTAGATCATATGATAAATATTTCTTTTACATTTTTAGCCTTTTTTGGTTATGTTATGTTAATTTTCTCTAATAGTAATAGTGATTTTGATATTGAAATTAATTCCCAAAATAGAAATTATACGTGGATTGCACGGTTCCTTTTGTATACTTAGGTAAAATAGTGTATCTTAATTCATTTAAACTGACTAATATTGTTTTTTAGGGGTCCAAACAACTGAGACGGAGCACACCACCGGAAAAGTAATAGTGACCGGGACCATGGATGAAGAGAAACTTGTGGACTACGTCTACCGTCGGACCAAAAAGCAGGCCCGAATCGTACCCCAACCCGACCCGGAACCTGAAAAACCTGCCGAAGAGGAAGAAAAGAAGGAGGAGAGCGGTGAAGGCGGTGAGGAACCCTCGGAAACAGGAGGGGAGAAAGAGGAGGGAGATGAAAAAGAAGAGGACGGTGGCGGAGAAGAGACGGAGGAGATGGCTGCGGTGGAAGAAGAAGGGATGAAGAGGATGATGTATTATTATCAGCCTTCATACGTCATCGAAAGGGTTCCTCCACCGCAGCTTTTCAGCGACGAGAACCCTAACGCTTGTTGCATTTCTTAATTCGTTTCGTATTGTATACGGAATATATATATAATTAGGTGAACTGATCACGTAAAAAAAAAAAAAATAGGTAAGAAAATGTAAACTAAACTTATTTGAAAGCCTTTAAGCAAAATAAAAAGAAAATGTAAACTATATAAATTTTATAAATGGTGGTTGGTATGTTTATTTGTCGATGGGTACGTTTAACACTTTGGCAAATACGTAATCGTAACTGAAAAAACGATCGATACGGAATCTATTCATATTCATGAAAGTATACGTGGATGTGCGTGTCTGACAGTGAGTGTGTTACGAACTTGCGATCGTTTTGTATATACTAGTTAAATATTTTATTTCGTGATGGAAATGGAATTTTTTAGAGAGACAGAAGAATCTAGTGGGAACGAGGGATCGTTGTGGGTCGCACATGGTGTGCTCCTTTTTATCTGTTGCTACGTCAATCTCCATTTCTCGAACGTGGCAGCTTTTCCAGCTTGCCTTGTCTATGACTTCTCAACCTCTCAAAAAATTCAAGGGTTTTTATTCTTTTGTTTCACAAACAGCTTAATATGTGGAAACAACTTTGGCGAAAGGCATTTGAATTAGGTATGCGACGGTTAATGATTCGATCAGCTGGGCCGTGGATCAGGAAGCCCACGAAAGGGTGAAGCATAGAAGGAAGCTGAGAAAACGAGAGAATTCCACTTAGACTAGGCAGATCCTATGTGTTTTTTGTTTTTTTTTGTTTTACGTTAAGAACTTTTCTGGAATTAAACTCATCGCTGTTTTTTCCACAGTAAATAATGCAAGGACGACTGTCACCGCTACTGTTGCGGCTGAGGAAATTAAAGTAAATTTAACGAATGTTTTCTTCTTCTTTTCAGTTGGGAGTTGAAAATTGAAATACATGGAAATGCATAGGATTTATTATCATTGTGATTAATTCTAGGAACATATGAAATGTGTTACAGCTGTGTCTGATAATTGATAAGCCTCCAAACCTTCCATGTATTCTTGTTACTACCATAAAGTCTAAAATCCTTATAAAATAATATTTTATAGTTTTAATCATTTATATATACAATTTTGTTAAATATATATAGCAAAAGAAAAGGTACTATGCGATAAATATGTATAGAGTGGTTAAGCTCTGTATACCAATTTAGATCTAATCCATAATTGGTTTAGAAAACAACGGAAGGTTACTTTTCATCACTTGAAACTTTGAGAGCACTAGAATCTATAAGGATATGACTGGAAACGAATGGATTGGGTAAGAGGGATTTTCCACAAAGCCAATAGCCCTTATCTATCCACCAACACAACCATTATAAGAATATATCAGATATGTTCTGAAAATAAAATCAATTTGAGCAAAGATATTATATTATGTCCATCGGTCTCCCAACAACTCGGAAACCCATTATTTTAAATTAGAATAATTCTAAAACTAATGTGATGATGATAAGTGATAACAAATCTTATCGAATAGATTTAATCAAAAATAAATCATGTGCTTTATAGTTATGTACTCCCTGAGTTTATGTAATAGACTTGTTAATTTTATCAATAAACGGCTACTTTATTCATTTTTGATTAACTAGGAACTGTGGTTCATTCATACAGTCTGTTGATGTTGTTTGTGCAAATTGGTTTCTTCGCCAACAATTAGAATTAGAGCGGAAGTTTCTCTATTAGCCTAACTTGACAAATATATACTCATGACTTTTCGACTTACGGCAACGATTATAATTTCAGATTTGACTCTTTTCATCTTAACTTCAATGTTAGGTATACGATTTACTTTTACCAAAAGTAGTGATTAAAATTTTTAAAATAATAAAACAAAGAACATCTGTTATTTTCCTAAAAACAAATCACATCATACGCATTAGGTAGGTACACCACGCAGGATGTCTTTGATTTTCATAGGGTCTACAATCATTCAAGTCGTTGGATTAATTATTAGCACATATTTATAGTTTTACTTTGAGCCTTTGACTAACATTGGCATTATCTTGGTTACATTATACCATCCAAAAGAAGTGGCCACTAGTGAACACAACACATTCCTCAATTAGTCTTAGCTCCCAGGTTTGATCGTCGTAATCTGCGAGTGCAACTTCAAATATTCATGCCTTCTTGGTTATATATATTGATTGGATCGCTCAAACCAATGCGTTATATATGGGTTTAATCTCCCCTTCTTTCCCATTCCTGCGCCATTCACCATTCATACTTCTAGCAACTTCTGCCCATCACACCATTTTTGTCACAGATCTTATGAACATTATCATTGTTTTTTCAATAAACCCGTTTCTATTAAAACCTACCATTTTTTTTTCCTTAAAATAGCATGTTAGTCATACATTTCATATTCATAGTTTTTGTATGAAATATTTTTAGCGAAAATAATGCGAACTTGGTTACAATAGAGTACATAAAGAGAAAAGTGGAAACAAAATTAATGGAATTCAATGAAAGTAGGTAGATCTGACGGCTACAATAATTTATGACCAGAACCTACCAGAATTTAAGACCATCAGCTTCGGAGCCCATACTTCTCTATAAATACCATACCGTCTCTTAAAATCTAAAACCATATTTTTTACAAGTTACAAAAAGGTTATTAGATATTTTATCTAACAAGAAATCAAAAAAGTAAATTATAATAAGACAATCTCCAAATCGTCATGATAACAGTAGCTATTGCCGCCGAGCTGCTTGAAGAATACACGTTGGCGCTTGCTCGTATCACCGCCACACTCCTCCCTCTACCACCAACAAGTCGCCGTCGAAGGGTGCGAGCTCCCACTAGCGGCGGCAGAGGTGATTCTTCCCTGCCTCGTAGTGACGTCTCATCATCTTGCGCTCCAAATTATGCTGCTTTTCTCTTGAATTTTTGAGTTCTTTTGTTATATGTATAGACGAGAGATTTTCGAATTTTCTTCTTCTTGACTGTAATTTCGAGTCATGCATGCTTGTAACTTTCTATTTATTTTCTGATTTGGTGTTTTTCTACAGTGATTAATCCAAAATTCAGAAAAGCATTTAAATTTGTTTATCATTTTCTTATAACTTAATTTGTTTATTTGATTGAGAATCAATAAGTAGACCGTTGGAAAATTCATGTATCATTGACGGTAGATAACAAAGAACATTGTGGATAAGTATGGAGATAAACTGAAAAAGGTATAAAATAAATTATGAAGTCAATACATCCTTTTCATTTGAATTTTGTATATTTTCAGGGTTTTTTTTTTAATATTTTGTTAGATAATCGATATTATTCAGCACCATAGAAAGTATGTGTATTAAATTGAAAAGTGTGTATGACGTTCATTGAACCTTGTCACGAAAAACTCACCATAATATTTGGATAATGAGAGATTAATTAACCGCAACCATGTTTTGTTGTTTCTTTATGAAAATTGATAAGAGATATTATTGCGGAATAATTTGGGGTTTTTGTATATTATTACTTTGGTGGAAAAGGAAACCCACACCACATGATGAGGAAGGGGACCGTATCACATGACAGTTCACTGAAAAATAATGATCATTCGGACGTCAAGAGAAGTCTTGTGTGACGAACTGAGAAAGAGTGTGTTCAAAAGAAAAGTTAGTCTGCTCCCACAAGCGACCTAGAATTATTGACTACTCGTCTGTTTCCTAAAAGCCAAGAACCAATAATGTCATTCAGATTCTTCGCTTTCTTATGCGTTTTACCTTCAGCATGACCAAGTTTCACCCACCATTAATCTTGAAAGCGTCCATCAACCACAAGATCAATCACACACATTCTAAACATAAATTTTATTCGCAAGTTGTTAGCAAATTATTGGAGGTTAATACGTCGTTGCATGCAATGCTATGCTACAAGGTTTTTGCTGCAATCCTACTGATAAAGTTAGAGAAACCGCCCTCTTCAACGAAGTGGTAAAAATCGTAATAATATAAACTGTGATCAATGCTTTATGCTTAACAATCAGTAGTAAATAAAAACAAGCAGTAGCAGTACAATAATCAACGGATATGTCTGTTGTCTTCGTTAAAACTGCATTGGGCTTCTCTTTAAGTTACAAGAAGATGAGCCTACAACTAGAGAGAAGAGAAGATATTATTTGAGCCTGATAAAACGGATAAAGGCCCGGTTCTTGTAGACCCGAACTTCGTCTCTAATGGCCGGGACCTAAATCCAAATGCTCCTTTTAAAACAAGGTAATCTCCATAAACTGTGCTTGGAAGAGCACTGACGTGCTTATGTTGCCTCGGATCTCAAACCAACATACCATTAGAACTTCCTTAAACCTGTTACAGGCTAATTAAAGTCAGTATAAGAAGCTTGGGATCACAAGAAATATAAAACATAAAGATGAAATAGGCAATAAATAGTAGTCACTTAATCAATTTATTTTTTATAACAAAAGTATATCAACTCTTAAAGCTTTGGGATTCATGACCACTTGTCACTTTGCTATACTCACGACCGGTTCTGGAAAGAGATTAACCTAGAGTTTGGAATCGATATCCATGACCAGTATTCAGGAGAATCATCTCAAACGATCTCTAGGTTCCTCGAAAATAGCATCCAACATTTCGTCCCACTTCTCTTCTCCATTCAAGAAACCATACATTGAAAAACAGGGGAGATTGTCTATGAGAAGAGGAGACTCACAGTAACTGAGGAAGAGCTGCTTATTTGAAACCCTACAAAAAGAGTGATTAACCACCAGACGAGGATCAGAGTTATAAATAAAATTGTATACTTATTGCTTGTCTCTCACGTTAAATGCATAAAACATTCATTTTTTTTTGTTTCCTTTCAAAGCTTTGACGCCTAGTCTTAATATGAGCCATCGTTTTAATTTGGGACTATAACCTATAAATTTTTGGTACTCAAAGTGAGTTAAAGGAGAAAAAGGAAACAATGAGGAAAACAAACACATAAAATGCTAAATATTGAGTCTAACATAGACGTAAAGTATTTTATTTTGTTATACAGTTCAAATACAGAAGTTATTATTTAAAATCTCAACTTGTTATGTTAAAACATAGTTAGACCAGTGATAAAGTTTCTGAGACGGAAACACATATAGAGCTCATAACTCATCTCTTTTATGTATGTACCACGTACATTAGTTTTTGGACACCGTGTATAAGGTAACACTTTTTTTGTAAGACACACACACACACACACACACATCAATCTAGCTAGACTATAACTGATAAGTGATAACTTATTGTAACTTAACTGAAATATGGGTAAGTAGATATGGGATGTATATTTAAGCCTAGTACACATACAAAGACAGAGACATACATGTACGTATAGTACCTAGTGGTTTAGAAAGTTCTCAAGGGAATGTTGGTCCAGATCCCTACTTCAAAACTTCTTGTAGTCCTCTGCGTATAAATTGGTTTCGCCTCGTCCTCCTCGGTTTGCCACAAGGGCTTTGCCGGACTTATGATATCGTATAGTATCTAGTGGTTTAGAAAGTTCTCAAGGCAATGTTGGTCCAGATCCCTACTCCAAAACTTCTTGTAGTACTCTGCGTAAGTGTAGTCTCTGTAGATTGGCTTAGCCTCGCCCTCCTCGGTTTCCCACAAGGGCTTTGGCGGACTAATGACAGCACAGTCAGCTGGGCATAGAAATGAGGCCACCGATAGTCTCGGCTTTTCAGTGTTTGTTACTGCTCGATGCCAAACACTTTTGTATACTCCGTTACTCAATGCCTGAAATCATATATTTAAGCAAGGTTGGTCAACGACCGTATTTGAGATTTAGGAGACCGTGAACTCTCTTTATGTTAATCTTATAGAAAAAAATTGCTACACCAGAATCGATCATGGATAGGTCCAACAATTTCAGAGGTTATAGACCAACACTTGAATAATATTTTTGATAGATTTTTTCTAGCTGATCAGTTACCTGGAACTGGTCACCAATGTTAATGACAAAAGCACCAGGACGAGGATTAACGGCGAACCACTGACCGTCGATCAAGATCTGGAGACCACAAACGGTAGCATCTTGAAGAAGAATGGTGAGGGCATTTGGGTCGGTATGGGCAGGTAAACCATAAGTGAGCTCAGGCTCAGGACATGGAGGGTAATAGTTGACTGCCATGTGTTGACCTTGTTCACCAAGCACTTTTCTCATGTGGTCTTTTTCTAAACCCAGGCTCTCTGATATCAGTTCCTCTATTGTAAACCCCAGTTCTCTTACTTCTGTACTGTATCTACTCACAATTTCCCTGCAAAGTGCACACACACACCGTTAGCTACTCATACGGTCCACATTCACTTTTTTCTGAACATGATACCTAGTGTAGTATATGAATTTTCAGTTAAAATATATATATATATATATATATATATGAATTTTTTTTGAGTCAATGATTTTTTGGGATAAATCCATTTTTTATGCATTGAAGCTCATATATATTATGTAGTTTTCTATTGTTATAATATACTTATGTCGCGTAGTGATATACTCCATCCATTTCAAATTAAATATCATAATATAATATTTTTGAATTACAAAGTAAATGTTATTTATGAAATTAATGCAATTTTTTTATTAATTTATTTACCTCTAACTAAATAAAAACAATAATAAATGCTATGGAATTGTAACATTTAAATAAAATAAAACTTATCATTTAATGATTTTCTTAATTTACATGAAAATAAAATTTAATTTAAAATAGAGGAAGTATAAACAAGTTTAAATTTTAAAGTACTACTCTCTCTATTTCATATTAAGTATCATTTTAAATTTGTGTAAAAAGATTAAGAAAACATTTAATTTTCATATTTTCTATATAAAAATACAATTGTATATACATCTAACCATATTTCAACTAATATAAAAATAAATTACAATATAAAGTTAATAAATTTTGTATTGAAAGTTGAAAATTTATTTTATAAAAAAATATTTTTCTACAACTATATTTAATATGAAATGGAGGGAGTATTAAGGAAATCAATATCAATACTATTAAAAGAGAAAAAGTACTAAAAAATCTACTTATACAAGTTGTTTGGACCTTTTCATTAGACTAATATTTTTGGTCTTTCCTTATATTTCTCTAACTATATAAATACTTTATAATTTAAATGAACTCATTTATTATTTTCCGTAATGTATTATCTAATTACGCTAACAATAAATCTCTATAACACTCTAATATATTTAATATCTTTACATAATTTGGAAACATTAGTTTAATTAATTACATGCAAGCAATTATTAAAATTTTATATTACATTTTTATACATGAACTAAATGATTAATCGTATTGATATAAAAATAAAAGGGTCTAAATGGATTGGAAATTTTAATAGTACAGATGTTTATTTATTTTAAAAATTCTAACAATGCATATGATATGTTTTTATTTAATTTTAAGTGTAAACTATCGTACAATTTAAATATCAGATCATTTTAATATTTTTAATATTTTGAATAGAAAATACTTGGATAATTCATTTTTTTTTGCTTAATTTGGTTTATAAATAGTTTTTAGGATATTTAGTATTTAAATATTATATATAATTTATATTAAAAAAATTAATATCCATTTGTTCTCGGTTCAGTTTCTATTTTTCGTTCCAGAGATATATGATATGGTCGATTATTTATAATATTTGGTTTAGTTTTGTTTTTATTTTTATTTTCAGTTTGGTACGGTTAGTTTCACCTGGATAAATATTTCTAAATATATAAATTATCTTATATAAAAATTCATTTAGAAAAAATTGTTTCATTTTGAAAATAATTTATATTTCTAAATATATAAATTATCTTATGAAGCCGGTTTGTCTGTGTTGACTGACTCTTAAAGTAATGACAGTTTAGATGGAAATCTCAGTTTGATGTGTAGTCTTTGGAGAGTCTCGAAGTTCTGAAGATCGTGTGGATTTTTGCTTCAAATCTCGGCTTGTCCTTTTTCACCAATACATCTTTATCAAATCTTGTTTGTTTATGATATATATTAGTTTTTACAAATACAGTACACAAACGTTGCTGTTTAACATCAGTTATATTAATGGTTGAAACCTAATGGTCGGTTGAAATAATTCACACGATTCTGTAGAATAAACTATGGTGACCACTCCTTATAATTAGCCCAACAGCCACATGCATGCATAGGTACATAAGTGTATATTATGCAATCTATCCATGTGATCACATGGGGAACAAAATCAGAAAATATAAACCAAATGGGACCGCAAGTAAATTATCTTTTACCTATCAAATAATATATTTTTTCAAACTAAATTTGAAGAAAAACAAAAACAGTTGACTTGACTCATACGAAGGTCGAATTTTCTTCTGTTCAAATCCAAACCAACTTTTGTATCTTTAAAATCATAAGAAAACATATTAATATGCCAATATATATGTTCTTTATAAAAAGAAAACAATATTCTGATGATATAAATTGGGCATATGTCTTTAACAAAATACTGGGCATATGCTTGTTTATTTTAATAATGTTATTCGACCATATAATATGAGATAAAAGTGTCTCACATTAGTTTTGTTTTGTCGTGGGTTCTTCGAGATTTATGCGCTCAAGGCCGGTCCTAAAATTTTAGGGGCCTAAAAATTTTTTTCGAGGATCTATATTAATATAATTTTTTTCAAATTTTTTAAAAGTTTAAGGTGAATATTTCACTAGAACCAGTTTTATATGCGCTCAAAATATAGCTAGGAAGATCTTGCTCGTCTCATATTGTTTAATTTCTTTATAGGCAGTGCACTGAACCACTTGGTTTCATTATAATAGTTTATTGATATAATATGATTCTCTATGTATATTGGGACAACAAAGAAAATGGAATCTAATCAGATTAATGATAAAAATTTAAAATAGCTATGTACGTCTATTTATGGCCTAAAATAGCTTTATTAGTCTATTTTTGGAAATTCTGACAATCTCAGAAATCACCAATTGACAAAAACATGACGCATACTCGAAAATCATAAACATGGCAGTTCGTTTTCGTTTTACCGATTTACTATATAAATTTTCGAGAAAGAATATGCAAAACTAAAAGTAAAAGTAAATTTTATATATACATATAAGTAGAAGTGAACTGAGTGCTTACTTGAAAGAAGGAGGGTTTGAAGGCCACTCATGGACATACTTGCTGATAGGATAACAATGGAGTCTAAGATAGTCTCTCCAATTGTTGACCTCTTCTTTTTTCACATTAAAGCTCGTTGATAATCTTGTCGTCTTCGTTGGATCGTCCGAATACAACTTCATTTTTTCCTCCATAGACATGCTAAAGAACTCGTTCGCAACCCTCACCATTCCATCTATTGTATCTTTGCTAACTCTGTGATTTATGACCTAGATCCATCGATAAGACTACAAAGTTATCAACTATAACTTTTGAATACTTAGCTATATACAAGTTGTGGTTTCGTCACGGTAAGTAAAATATATAAATTACAACGAAAACAAATACTAGTAAAATTATAATTCTGGCTTTGAGTGGTTATTACCTACACACGGACAAAGCATACCAAAAATAGTAACAAAAAAAATAAATAAAGTAGTACATAGTACTTTATTTCCGATATAACCAATAATAAATGTTGTGTTAAGTTCATATACTTTTCAGGTACATAAGTTCATATTCAGATACATGTTTTCTTTAATTGATTCAAAGTTGATGTACTTTACCAAAAGGTTATGTGTGTATATAAGTACCTGGAAAAATCCGAATCGGGAGCAAGCTTGGCGGATTTGTTGGACTAGCCGGGATCGATCTATGGAAGATAAGTCGATGAGAGGGAAATCTTCAAGTGGAGAGACGTCGGAGAGACATGGACGGTCGGAGAGTGGCCGAACATAGTTATCCGGCAAAGTAGTGTGCCGAAAACCGGTGGATATTAGCTTTGCTGCCATATATGCTGATATCAGAAAGTAAAGAAGAAGTATAAACGGAAAAAGTTAAAGGAATGGCTCGACTTTGAGTATGTATGCGATGCGAATTGTGTGTTCTATATATAAACAAACTATGTAAGCATATTCTGTCCTACAATATTAATGTTTTAAGAGTGGAACTTTTCTTTTTCCATTATGTATAAAAATCATAAATCCACCGAATCTATTGTATGAAGTGGGTTTTTACGCTTTTGAGGGGTTTTCGAAAATGACGAATGTTGTTCTTAATCATGGGATATAATAATATACGATTGAGGTTTTTAATCCCGCGCTGCTGGTATATTATTTTGTCCACTCAACTTAAAAAAATAACAACTAATTTTACATTTCTGTCATCATCTTTAGTAATAGTAGTATTTTATTAGACGATGATTTATGATTAGTAATTAATAATTGTCCGGTATTTTTTGTTATTTTTTTTACTGTTAGTTTTCATTTCTTGTTTTTGTGGATCCACGCATGTGCATATTGTTATTATTTTAGAGAAATATATATGTTTTAGCACTATGAGTTTTCGGCTCCGGGTCCAGCTCCAGCTAATTCATCATATTTAAAATACAAAAATAAACAAAATAGCTAAAGTCGATATTGTTGTCTAGTAAATTATATTATCATCGATCGCTGTGGCGTCATCTTTACATCATTACAGTGACATCATGAATGATCTATACGCACTTCGAGAGGAGATTTTGTCTTCACACGTAATGTTTCATTTTCGGGAAAATCGTAATGTTACTATCTCTAACCATAGTATCCTCGTCGACATATCTCTAACCGACTTCATCGTAAAAAATCTTGACATATCTATTGTTTTAAAGGATAGCTATTAAAATATCATTATTAATATATCTACCATCATTTTTAACATTAGAGATATATCAAAAATGATAGTATCGTTAGAGATATGTCAAAAATGTCATTGTAATAATTGCGTGAGAAACCACCATCATTGTTAGTTATATGTTTCAAATTGTCAATGATGATATGTTTGTTTTAAAAAAAGAACTTGTAATTTATAAGAGACTATTATGATTCTTTTTTTCTTTCTTTTGTGATTTTGTTTTTAATTTTCTATGTTTTAATTATTTTTATTTTTATTTAATTTTCTGTATTTTAGTTTAATCTAATTTAGTTTTTGAAATTTTATTTAATTTTCTGATTTTGTTTTAATTTTCAATTGTTATTTAATTTTTTGAATTTTTATTTAGTTATCTGATTTTATATAATTTCTGATTATTATTTAATTTTATTAATTAAATAATTATTTTTCGAAATAAACCAACACATCATCAAATTTATCTGTACAACAAGTTAGTTTTTTATTTTATGAACAAATAAGTCAAATTGAAAGTTTTTTGTGACATAAATATCAATTTAAAGATTTAAAGTGTTAATCGAAAAACTTCAAAGTTTAAAGGGCCAATATACGCCACTTTTAAAGTTTTTATGCAATTTAGCTTTCATTTTCATTGAAAGCTACCTATTTTTATGAATATATCAACTTATATAACATGAAAAAATAAAATATACTTTCAAAAAAATAAAAAAAAACACACACACACATATTATTTATCTTTTTAGCAAAATATACATTACTCATCATATAAACTGCCATATCATCTAATTTTGTTGACATTACTCATCATATAAACTGCCATATCATCTAATTTTGTTGACATTAATATTACATAAGACAGTTCAATCATATAAACCGTATATGAAATCAACGTTTCTCCTCTTTTCACAGTAGTTAAATGAAGGGATTTTTGCAAAACCAACCTAAAATTTCAAGTCAAACACAAAACCAACCTCTTTTTTTTTGTCATTACTATTCACTCTTAAAAAACCTAAACTCTCCTCATGTTTCCATCTATTTACCAAAATGCCATTATTTTTAAATCTGATTTTATTTTCGAAAATTATAAAAAACCTATTACACCCTAAACATTTCTCCTTATTTACCATAATGCCATTGTCATCAATATTTGCAACCACCCAAAACCACCATTGATGAGCTCTTTAAGCTTGTGTTTATGAAATTTCAACCACTTATTTCACTTTCTAAACAA